CTGGGCCCCTGAAATCAGGGCAGCGCCCTTCCTGAACAGAGGGCCACGTCTGGCCCACAGCGGTCCCCATTCTGTCCCTCATGAGGCCCTGGTCCTTGGAGGCTCCTGCCCGCCCTCCCTCCTGCTGAATGGGGCTCCCAAATATAGCGGCTGTGGCCACAGCCGGCCAGGACACCACAGCCCCAAGCGTCAGTCCTGGGCCGGGATCAGAGGGGCAGGAGCTGATTATAGGTCCCTGGGCCAAACCCAGGGTTCGCCTGCCAGCCCGCTGGGCCCTGCCCCCCAGAACCACAAGGTTGGAGCATGTGGTCCCCGTCAGCACAGTGGGAAGAGGGAGGAGCCTGAGGCGTGTGTTTGGCCTGCCCGAGGACAGGGTTGTCTGTGTGTGGCGTGGGGGTGGCAAGGGCGAGCCAGGGCTCAGGGACGGCGGTGACTGTCCTCGGGATCCAGGATTCCATCCTCCCACCCGTGGCCATTGTGCAGGTGGGGAAACTGAGACCCAGGGAAGCTTGGGTCATACGGGTGTCAGGAGTCCCCTGCCCTCCCCCTTGGGCAGGCTTTCCCATCTTCCAAGGTCTGAGACGGGCCTCCGGGAAGCCACATCCTGCTGGTGGCAAAGGGGCCTGCTGGGAAGTCCTCCTTGGAGTCTGACTTTCACCCAAGGTTCCAGGACTGTGGGGTGGTGCGGCAGCTGCCCTGCCGTCTATCTTGGGAACATCGTCCCCCCATGTGTGCAGTTGAACAGGGACCTTCGTGTTCAAGCATGCGCAGCATGTGGCAGTGGGTTCACACACCTGTGAGCACACCTCCGCCCCGGGGTGTGAGCTGCAGCCGTGGACCTCCCCACGCGGGGACAGGGTCCCCAGGACCCGCCGCGTTGCAGCAGCTGACCTACTTTGGAGACTCTGGTCTGGCCCAGGCGGAGTTCTCGACTCCTCCTGGAAATGTGGGCCTTCGTCCCAGCCTGGAGGCTCTGGGCCAGGAGGGGCGGCCCGGGGAGGGCCCAGCGGCTTCGGAGCCTGTGGCCAGGAGGATGAGGGCACGTGGGGAGTTGCTCCCAGGCCTGCCCTGGCTCCTGGGCCTAAGGGGCAGCCAGGCCTTACCCCTGACCCTGCCATCCCCTCTACTGGCATACTCTGTGCCCCAGTAGAATGAGGATTACCCCTCAGAACATGGTCAGAGCGGTCAGCCTGGTTCTCCCAGACCCCCTGACCCCTGTCTACCATGCCCACACTTGGCAACACATGACTTCAGTCTGGACACCCGCCAACCCCCATCCTGGGGTTAGCGTCTGGGGTCTGAAGTTGAGATCCTGGATTTGGGGTGCGAGGCCCCGTGTCTAGGTTCCCAGCCCAGGACCTGAGTTCTCAGTTCCAGGTTTGGGGCTCCAGTGTCCAGATTAAGGGCTCACCAATCTAGAGGTCTGGATTTGAGGTTCTGGGACCAGGCACCTGGCTTTGGGGTTTGGGTGCTAGGACCTAGGCTTGGTATCTGGATTTAGGATTTCCGTTTCTGGAACTGGGGTCTGGATTTGGGTCCTGAGTTCTGGGGTCTGTGCTCAGGGGGCCAAAGGCCTGCCTTTCACATCTCTTCCATGCCCTCTGCTGGCCATCCTGCTCATCACAGCCCGTCCGTACCACGGGCGGCCCCACCTGCTGGAGGCGTGCAGAGCCCCTGTTCAGGTGAGGCCTGGAAGGCCAGTGCGTGGGCTCTGGGCCTCCTCGAGTGCTTCCGAGCCTCTCAGAGATCCTGGGAGTCAGAGGACAGGCGGGAAGTCCCTTCTCCCACTTCCCCTGGGCCAGGTGTCCAGGAGCTGTGAGAGGCCTGTCACATATGTGCCCTGTGCTAGGCTCTGTTCTGGGTTCTGGGGAACAGAATAGACCCCCATGGCTGGCTGGCACTCATGGGCAGCAGGGCAGGGGAGGGGAAGGAGGAGGAGGTCTTCGGAAATAAGGGCTCAGGGTGGGAGACAGGGCAGAGGGGCACTTTGAGGGAAGTCTAAGGAGACTTCTTGGAGGAGGTATGGTCAGGGTCCCAGGTGAGGGTGCCAGGGAAGGGAGGCATGAGGAGTTGGGTGGGAAGGGCTTGGCATGCCTGAAGACCTGGGTGGAGGCCGATGTAGCAAGCTGGCCCCTGCCTATATCCACAGGGCCCACTTCTTCCCAGTTGCTCCCTGGAGAAGGCTGTGGAACGCGGCACCTGTGTGAACGGGCATCAGGATGGGTCATAACTCAGACATAGAAGCTGAAGGACCTGAAGTGGATAGGATTCTGGCCTGTAGGCCCTCAAGCCCTTAGGGTCCCCTGCCAGGGCCCCCCCTCCCACCTAGGATGTTGCCCATTGGCTGTTATTCCTGAAGGAACTGGTGGAGAGAGAGGTGAGCACCAGTCCCGGGTGGGGCCGGCCCTTGCTGCCCACTGTCCTCCTCTGCCCATCCTCCTCCCTGCCCCAACCCAGTCCCACTCCTGGCTTAGCCCATCCTGCTCCTAGTCAAGGGGGCTGCCCTCAGGGGACAGGGAGGACAGGGCTTTGGGCTGACCCCTGTGGAGGTTGGAGGATGGCCCTGCGGGGTGAGCCCTGTGGAGAGTTAGCTCTGGGATCCTGCAGGGCTGTGGCCAGAGTTGGACAGTCAGGGGTTGGACCCTGTGGAGGGTCAGTGACTGACGGTGCACCCTCCCCCCCAGTGGGCCCACAGCTGCCCTGGGCACGGGGCAGGGCGCTGAGGTGGCTGGCGCTATCGTGACTCAGGTAGGGGATAGGAACCACAGATATGGGCCCCACACCACGCACTCCCCCGTGTTCTAGCCCCTGTTGGATGGGTGACAAGGGGTGGCAGTGGTGTGCAGACAAAAGGAATCTTGGGGGGAGGGGCAAGCGGGCAGCCGCCCTGGACCTCAGTTTCCCTGAGGATGACCGACGGGACTGGGAGTACATTGGCCGTGCCTGTGGGGGGCTGGGGCTGGGGCTGAGTGAGCTGTGCTGAGACAGGTGTGCCCCAGGATTAGGTCAGCAGGCCTGGGTGGCTGCCCAGAGGGCCTCTCTGTGCCCCCCGCCCCCCCCCACGCCATTTCCTCCTCTTGCGGCATTTCTGGCCGGTCTCCTCGGACCTCTCCCCTCTCTCTGTCTCAATACTGTTGCCAGACATCTGGACGAAAAGTGAAACACTGGTGCCTCCCCCAGCCCCGGATGCTGTCAGAGTCCCAGATGTGGGGTGTTCTGCCCTCCAGATGAAGGCAGGAAGGCCCCGTGTTTTGGTTGGGAGGGGTCTCAGGCCCATCCCTGCACTGCTGCCCCCTCCTCTACGGGGGCTCGAGGGACAGGATGAGAGGGACCCAATGGGAACCCAGGCACAGCGCCCAGTGAATCTGCTTGCTCAGGCTTGCCTGCAGTCCCTCGCTGCACCCAGACCCCACCCCCTTTCCCCACCCCACCCCCCAGGACTGCAGGGGGGAGTAGGGTGGGGTGGGGGCGGGGTGCACACAGTACCTCTGAAGTTTCTATCAAAGGCTCCAGGCCCTTAAAATAACCAGGGACGCTTCCTCCCACCCCTCAGGCACAGACCCTGGCCAGGGAATGGAACTCAATGTGTTTGCAAGATGTCCCCAAGCGCTAAGCCGGGAGGCTGGAGGACCTCACGCTACCTCCTCGGTGTTCCCGCCTCCCCGAAGGCTGCCTCAGCCAGCCTGCACTCTGTCACTGCCATCTGTTGGAGGCAGGACGCCAAAGGGGGTCTGGCTGAGAAGGGGTGGGCACACAGGGCTGAACACCAGGGAGTAAAGCCTGCTCACCGCCCTGGGGTCCCTCAGCTGGGCAGACCCTCTCAGGGGCCAAGGCCAGCACGGGGCAGTGGGCACAGCACCAGGGAGAGCTTCCGGGAGGAGAAGGCGGCAGTGGGGCTGAGCTGAGGCAGGGGCACAGTGTGTCAAAGCTCCAGTTATGGGGGCGGTGGGGCAGCCTCTGCGCCAGGTGGACTCTGATGACAGAGGCGATGGGGCTGTTC